TAAACACGAAACCCTAAACCTCAACCTGCCGGCTGATCAAGGCACTCTTCTGTCCACATGAGACCCAGGTACTCTTGACACTCCTCTAGCTTTAGGGCTTTAGGGTTTAGGGGTTTAGGGGTTTAGGCTTTAGGGCTTTAGGGTCTAGGGTTATGAAAGGATAGTGGACAAGAAAATGGAAAATACTATTTGGGTTTCGGGCTTAGGTCTGATAGGGTACTGCGCCCACCCTCTAACAATCCATTAGGGGTCATCTTAAGGGCTATATGCAGCTATATTATTTATATTATCCAGCTGCTGCAGAGTGGGAGCAGTACCCACTCTTTGGGGCAATTTCGGGAAAAGTTAACAGGATATCTATGGGAGTTTCTCAAAACACACAGAGGGCTCTGGGACCCCGATACATACATACATATATATATATATATCTTTATCTATTTGTATGTACGTAGATAGGGATCAGGGAACCTTACTAGGGGTTCTGTGGGAATCGTTCTGAGAAACCCCGGACCCCTCCCCCCCCGCCGCCCCACCGCCCCCCCCCCCAGGTTTGAGAGTAGGAATGCCATGGTGTAGGATTTGGAGCTTTGGAATTCAGAGATTAGGGGCTCAGGGAGTGGCATATGAGGTGCAGAGATGGGGGGACTGGCCTTTCGTAGGTTTTAAGGTTTAGGATGAAGGGTCAAGAATTTAGGGTTCGGGGTGTTCGTTTGCGCTAAGCATGATAACATTTTGGTGTAAGGAGGCTCTTTCTTTCGGGGAACAGCAAGATACAGTGGTCTTGTGCGATAGTTTGGATATTGTCCAAACTATAACCGTCTGTAAAAAAAGTAGTTGTAGTAATCGTATGCCGCTCCTGATTGAAGCCGTCACTGATACAATAAGCGTCGCCTGTATACATACATGTGGGTACACATTTGGCAATTTATCTACCCGTCTACCTGCGTATGACAAATAGAGGGCGGTGCAGTACCCATCTGATAGGTTTGGTTTATTGGAGATACTCCTCGGCGCGTGCCATATCAGCTGGTAGGAAATCTTAATAACAGATGTAGGCTTCAGGGCTTAGTTATGCTAACTCGCTCACCTTTGATGTTGCTGGGCCCGCTAGACTTGAAGGTAGGAGAAGCCTTTCGGGTTTAGGTCTTTCTGGCGTCTCCTAAAAATGCTGCACAGAGGCATTCACTGACATTCCTCAAGAACCTTTTATAGGAGATACAGAGGCGGTCGTATACGGGTTGCCAAGGAGATAAACAGTGGTCAAGAATGGTTAAATGGGAGATATGTAGGGGTCATGTAGGAGTTATGCATAGGTGTCATATAGGGGTCTGGTAGGAACGGTTACAGGGCCACGTGTGCACCAAGCATGTGAGCTACAGTTAATATTTCCTAAAAAATTAATCAACATGGGTTCATTATTAGGGACTATATAATACAAAGGACTACACTAAACTACGACAGGGACCCCCCTATGTCCACTCTTAAAGGCCCCTTAATTTGGCTTGTAATAACAGTAGCCCATATGACCCCCGGTTGCCTCTGCCTAGGCACCAAAACAGATCAAAGGCCCTACTCGGGAATCATGGTGAATGTCGCATAATGCAGCGCTGCCGCTAGGGATCCAAATAATCCAATGTAGGTAATATTTACAGACTCTGTGGCCCAATGTAGGTATTGTTTCTATACTTGGACCCCTAGGCTGCACGTAGAGGTTGGATGCGGGAACGCGCAATGCGCTAGACCATACAGAAAAGTAGGCTTAGCACGCCTGAGACTTGTCATGGGTAGTTGCAAGTAGGGCTCTGGATATAGCCATCCTACTTGCAGCATACCATCGCTACTTGTGGCCCTTCTGCACCGGTACCACATACTGTAGGAATCTTAACTGTCGATTCACAAAACTGTGCCTCAGGGCATGACTACTCGCGGGGTCACAAGGCTCCGCATAGCTAGAGTTCAGGGTTTAAGGTTTAGGGTCATTTGAGGCAACTCCAAGAGTCCGCGACCATGTTGACCAGCTTGCAGACAATCTCCTGGCCGTTGCCAAGACCCCGCCGCAGCACACCAACAAAACAAACTTGTGTCATAACAGGATTTTCAGTATAACCCAACCACTGAAGACCGCATCATCATCATCATCATCATCATCATATCCTAGCTTTAGGGTCCTGACTTTGGAGGCTGGGTAACCAATAACACTCCCGTTACAAACACCTTGGATTAAACATGCGTTCGGCTCAGCCAGTAATAGGGAGGGTCGGATGGTAACCTGCCAGCTGTAATTTCTTGCCGCGTTCTGCATGTTTACCCCGGACACGAAAACCCTAAAGCCTAAATCCTAAACCCTTAACGCCTAAGTCCTAAACCCTAAACCCTGAATCCTGAACTTGTTTTTACCCTTCCCCAAACACAATGAAACCCTAAAAGGCCCCCATTTGAACCACAGCAGTCTTTGTAGTACCCTGCTTTGGGAATTCCAAGTTAAGTATTGAGCGTGTATACCTCAAAACCTAACCCCTATCCCTTAGGATCCCTATGAAGCCCCTCAAGCCCTAGACCCTGAGCAGGCTACAGCTAAAAGGGCTTTAGGGTTTAGGGTTTAAACTTTGGAAACCTAAACCCTAAACCCACACTTTCAGCGCCTTTGTATCGTCGTGGTCGTCATCGTCATCTGCCAGCTTGCCATCTCTTCGAGGACCCAGCCGAGCTTGCGGCGTGATGTTCATGCCTTACTTGAAAGGGTTAAGGTTTAGGGTTTAGGGTTCTAGGGCTTATTACCCTAAACCCTAAACCCTGGTTTATTGTTTGAGGGGTGTTAGGGTTTAGGGTCTAGGGTCTTTTTAAGGGGGATCCCGAAGTCCTAAACCCTAAGCACTAAAGCCTAAACCCTAGGATATGGGGGTTTCCCAAAATTAGGGGTAGCATTTTAGGGGTCCCCATAATAAGGATTATAGTATATTAGGGTCTATATTGGGGTCCCCTTATTTATGGAAATTACCATATGAACTGTAGTCTAAACTCCTTAAAGGGGGGTTATATAGGGGATTATAAAGGGGACTATTATAGGGGTTACTAAGGGGGATACTAGGAGTTTAGACAATGGCTCATATGGTGGTTACAGTTTCAGAGGGATGCATTGGGCTCAGAGCTTCTAAGTTTCTGCCTTGTCGCCATAAAGGTGATAAAGGGGACATGTAGAGATTGTTATAGGAGTAAGCAGGGTTTAGGATTGAGGGTTTAAGGTTATAGTGTACGTTAAGATTTGCTGGTCTTTCTGCATGCGATTTACTGGGTTTTGAGCCGTGCTTATAACCTCCTAACTGAGGTTGCCCCAATCCCTAAACCCTAAACCGCGACTTACAAGCCGAGCTATACGCAGGTACTTACGTGTGCAATTGTTTTTAAAAAAGTTGCCCCCCTATGGCCCCCAACACCCCCTACTTGATCCCTAACCCCTATACGACCTCCCCCTACACCCAAAACCCAGCCCGAAACCCATCCCCAAATAGGCTAAGGAGCCCCTTCTGGCCTGGCTCAGCCTTGCCAGCGAATATTCCAGCCAGGCGTCCAGCCTAATTAGGCTTTGTTTTGGGGAATGTACCTGCAACCTCAATTTCTTACACTTTTATGCGTTATAGTCTAAACTCCTTATGTCTTCCTTAACTAAACCCGATAATGCTCCCCTATTAGCCACCCATATAGCCCTCGTTAAGGAGTTTAGACTCTAGCTCTGATGGTTTATACCTAGGGGTTGGGGTTGCAGGTAGAGCCTGACTCCCTTTAAATACGGTGCCGTAAATGGTTTAGGCTTTAGGGTTTAGGATCTAATCTACTTGGCACTTAGGACCCCTTCTAGGGGTTAACCTTTTAGGTACCTACAACATGGGGGAATCTCAAAGGGTTAATGGTCTCAGGTCCAAGCTAAGTCCCAAGGAGTAATATACAAGATTAGGTACCCTAAAAATGGAGCAGAGAATTTGGGAGAAGGTGGACGTTAAGGTTTACTGTTTAGCAGTTGCTCGAAAATGTCCCTGTACCTTGAACCCCTAACCAGGACCGCGACACTTCCTTAAGTTTTTAGGGTTTAGGGTTTACTACCTCCATACGCATTGGCTCTGATTGTCTGGGCTACACAGGGCCTATGTTCAATATTACCCGGGTAATTCATTGACAGGGTTCCTTATTATAGGGCATCTATTAGGGACTATACTAAAGGGGAGGGACCCCTATGTCCACCCTTAAGGGTCCCTTGGCAAAGCTTATCTTGACCGTATCTCATCTCTAAACCCTGAACCCTAAACCCATGTAATGCAGGACAGGTACTTCTGATCTGTGAGCCTAAAAGCATCCAAAAGGAACCTTACATAGGGCTTATACCGTTTAGGGTCTACACTCCTAGTATCCCCCGTATATGCCCTATCATAGGGTCAAGTGTTTAGGGACTGAACGCCTAGAATCCTCGTTGATATCCCCAAAGTTAGGGTTTAGGGTCTAACCCCCCTTAATCCTTAACCCAAATCCCCCTTAATCCTAAACCTTAAACCCTAACCCCGTTTGAGGAGTCGAGACGATGGCTCACATGCACTCATCCAATTATTTGCAAAACAGTTCTGCCTGACATGAACAGTTCAGGACGTGATGCGATATGCTGATCTTATAACATGACTTCGTGGCTATGGCCCTCAACCCTTAGCTGTAAGCCCCAATCTTCTGCAGGTGTGGCATGAGCCAAAATCATTTTTTGGCTGCTTTGGTACACAGAATTCAGACTGCATGGTTGTGTTGGAAGGCTTTCGACGAGGCTGTTTTTCTGGGGTGTCTAAACAAAAGGGGCCCTTTTCAGGGGGTCCCTGTGCTGAGGATTACAGTGCATCAGGGGTCCACTCACTTATCAGTATGGATATGGAGTGTTCCCATTCACTCAGTAATGCCAACAAACACAAGCATGGTCTAACATTTTGTGCGCTACCATCTTATCAAGTAATTAACAGCCCAGCAACTTCAGACGGCAGCGTATCAGCATCAGTATCCCCCAGAAGGGCAGCACCAGGATTGCCCCTAAAAGCGTCATCCAGATGAGAACAATCCACTTGTGCTTCACTTCCACACAGTGCTGGCACTGAAATTCGGTCTGCGGTATGAAGGGATCCGAGAACTGAATCGCATTGAGGGCAAAGGGCCAAATCCTTAGCTGCTTAGCTGCTCTCTCCGAGAAAAACTACCAACGCCAGTCTTTCACAGTGAAGAAGTGTAAAGTGATTACCCTTAACCCTAAACCCCTATAATCCACTGTAACCCACTATGACACCCCTTTAAAGGGATCCTATAACCCACTCCTTTAAAGGGATCCTATAACCCACTATAACACGGTTACGGCGCCCGTACGGGCCGCTGTGTTTAAGCACATATCCAATCATGCGATCTGAGGTCCATGCGCGCGAAACTATGGAAAAATGCT